AGCATTACCAATTGTACCCAGAGACTGTATGGCCTCTGAAAAGACCGCGGGATCAAAAGTATCTAGCCGATACGACTCCCTCCACAATGTTGACGCCCTGGCAGGTGGCTCACCTATTGTGAACAGAAGTGCCGTATGATCGCTGCCTGTATAGCTATCGCAATGGCTCCATGTTGCTCCCCGAAAGAGGGATGAAGTGACAAAAGTAATGTCGATAACAGACCCGTATCCCGCCCGACTGAAGGTGTACTCATGGCCAGTGTTGAGCAGTGCAACATCTAGTGTCGCGAAGATCTCCAGTAGGATACGACCTCTGGCATTTGTTGTTGGGCTACCCCATTCTAGCGCCCAGGAGTTAAAATCTCCAGCTATAATGGCCTTCCGACCCCTAGCATCCTCGGCAAGCTCGTCGAGCACCGTCGTGAATTCACTGAGCTGCATGCTGGGGGCCAGATAGCAACTGTAAAGCCACAAGCTACCATATCGGCCACGTACGAACCCATTGAATGACTTAACATTCGAAAGTAAGTTCGTTGAGTTGCCGCATACCCACAACGCAGCTTTGCCATTAACGTCTGTTGACCATGTCCTAGGGCAGCTGGTTCTACAGTGGTGAGGCTCACTGAGAAAAGCTACATCTATACATTTTTCCCTAATGGTCTGCTCTAGAAGATCTTGGGCAGCAACACAATGATTTAAGTTAAGCTGCAAAAACCTTAACATTTCATTTTACGAGCAGCTTCACGGTAAGATGGGCACTTGAAGCTGCCTGCTGAATGGTCCGTCTGCTTTTCACCTTTCCGGATGCAGAGGCTACATTTTGGTGGCTTGGTGCATGCTTTGGCACTGTGACCCATCTCTCCACACCTGAAACAGGCGCCCTTTAAGTCACAGTCGCTGCCGCAGTTTGCTGCCATATGACCGTAATCGAGGCACTTGAAACAGCGTTTAGGCTGCTCCACGGCTCGGATACGGCAAACTACCCATCCTATTCTAATTTTGGACAGCTCGAGCAGAGTTTTAGCTTTCCCAATCGGAAGAGCAACCGTAGCTCTTTGCTGTCCACCAAAAGCTGGCCGAAGCGATTTGATAGCCTCAATGGGGAGTGAGCTATCCTTCAACTCCACCCTAATTGCCTCCAAGATCTCCTCTTTGGTCGCTAACTCATCTAGATCGCGAATCTCAACTTGCGCCGATTCGGTAAGTGTTTTAACTACCGCTCGGTCTCCCAAGGCCTTGCCTACAGCTTCGTGCAGAGCCTCAGCGCTATGCTCCGGCTTCCTACTCAGTTGCAGCAAAAGGTCCCCCTTAGCTGTCTTCCTAATGCCTTGAACGTCGCTGCTCAGATGCTTCAAATTTGGGTCGTTTTTAACTACACGAAGCATGTCCGCGTAGCTGCAGCCCCCTACGCCTGAAATCGCAATCGCGTCAGTCCTGGGACGTTTTTGCATAGGCTTTCGCCCTTTGACGACTGTCCAGCTGCTCTGGTTTGTCTGTCGGGCGGCCTGGTTTGAAGTTTCAGATTCAGCTGTAGCCCGTAGAGCCATTGGTTCTTTTGGGTTCGCTGCACTTCTATTGGGCCTCGGCTTTTTTGAGGGAGTTTTCCTCTGTTCGGAGGCAACTTCCCTCGACCGCTTGGGAGTATTGCTACCTACTGTAGCACTAATGCTCGCTGCCTTAACGTTTTCGCCTACTTTTTTGAGTGGCGTGGTCTGCACCTCACAGTTTTTAACCGAACGGTTGCAGAACGCTTCGGCCGTCTTGTGAAGGCTGACCAGCCTAGCCAGCTCCTCTCTCATTAAGGCATTTATATGCCGCTGACCCCCAAATAAGGCAGACAGACCCTCTAGTGTAGCTCCTATTTGAGCTAACGCTTCTTTTAGTGACTTGGGTGCCTGGCACTCAGCCACTGGAGCCTGGTTAGAAGTCGACGGCTGCGCCAACACCCTCTGTTGTTGCTGCGGCGATCGCTGCAACGAGGAACGACGCGCAAAAGCTTGCAGCTCGTCCTCCATTATGGCTTCCATTTCTGCTCCGACTACCACGGCGTGAAGCCTGTAGTGGGCAATGGCTACTAATATAATCTGAGTTTACAACCCGCAGTAACTTAAACTCAACTTGACTACAGCGAGAGCCCGAAAGTATGCACTACTTTTAATAACTGCTACTTCACTCCAGCAGCTAGGTTGCTGTCTTTGCTAAGGCTTAGCAACTCACCAACGTTAGTGAGCAGCTGATTGCCCGATGCAATTTCCAGCACTACTAACAGCTGTTAGAGTGAATGCACCTGATTTTTCTTATTGCGCAAGTGTGACGCCTAAAGTAACAAAATTTACGCGCCCACAAAAGACAAGGAAAGGAAAGAAGCCCTGACGCCAAAACACTGACGCTATCGCCCCCCCTCTCTTGCACCTCCGAATTATACCGCTTGGGAATTCCACGAACCGCCGCGCAGTAAGTCTCTGGTAGTTTTTTGAGGTCGCTGGGTACGCCGCGCCCACAGCAAACACGTTGACTTCAGTTCTTTCCACTTTCACAGGGGAAAACACAGTTCAAGCTATTGTCTACGATGGACCACGATGACATCGACCGCACTCCGTGAAAACGCAACTCGAACTCCTGTGTGTGTGTGTGTATGTGTGTATGTGTGTATGTATGTGTTTGTATGTATGCCTGTGTGTGCGTGCGTGCGTGTGTGTGTGTGTGTGCGTGTTTTTTGTGTAAGCTGAAAGACGCGAAAAATTATTGAAATAGCTATTACTCCAAGGGTTCAGGGGATCTCGTAGTCTAGTAGTCTCGACTAGAGCTTTCTTACTTGTTTTATATGGTTTTGTGCGAGGGCAGTATTACTATTAATAACAAGTAAGAAAGCTCTAGTCGAGACTGCTCGACTACGAGATCCCCTGAACCCTTGGAGCAATAGATATTTCAATACTTTTTCGCGACTTTCAGCTTACACAAGAAACACGCACACACACACACACACACACACACACGCACGTACGCACACACAGGTATACATACACACACACGCATACAGACACACATACTCACACACACGCATACAGACACAAACGCATACACACACACACACATACACACACACATACACATACAAGCAACCACGCATAAACACGCATGGGCTGCAGTGTGCGCTTACTATGAGAACTTAATTGTTTAATCACTTTTTTTTATGGACGTACGATCTTCATGAAACTTTTAGATTATGATTATAACATGATATTTGAAATACGCTTTTTACAAAAGGGAGGATGAGGGGGTGAATTTAGAGGTGGGGGGTAAATTTTAACAAAAACCGAAATTGTATAAATTGCATATAAGCATACATTAAAAATTTGGAGACTCTAGCAATAAAGGTGTAGAAGATATAATTTTATAACTGGGTTTCGATAAGGTTTTTTATCGATAAAAAAAGATCGAGATGAGTTATCGATTTTTAATGATAAACTTGATATGCGCGCTGTAATTACGGACATTTTAAAAAAATTTGAAGTCTCTAGCTCTTATATCTTCTGAAATCGACGCGTTCATACATACGGACAGACGGACAGACGGACAGACAGACGGACAGGGCCAAATCAACTCAGCTCGTCACCCTGATCAAGAATATATATACTTTGTGGGGTCTGCCACGCCTCCTTCTCCCTGTTACATACATTTCAACAAAACCATTATACCCTGATTTCCCATTGAAAATGGGTTCAGGGTATAAAAATGCCGCGTCCTAGAAGATCTAATCTTTCCCGGCGGACCCATAATGCAATTAGGCAACGGAATATCGAGAGTCAATTATCTGACGAAGAGCGAGAAATCGCCCGAGAAAGGCTCCGCGTTAGTACCCAGCAAAGAAGGGCCTTAATTCGTGCTTCTCAAAGAGAGGCAGCCCGTGAAATGGCAATAAGAAATGGTTCAAGGAATGATTTGAATCGAGAAGCGTTTCGATATGATTGCACCATTGACTATAGCTTGAATCGTTTAGTTTGCATTGGTCCAATGGACGTTGTTTGCCAGCATTGTCTCGCATTGAAGTTTGCTGGTGAAACGTCCGGTGTGCCTGCCAAAAATACATTGGCTGTTTCCAATTCGGGGCAGAGACAAATCCAACAAATCAAAAACCATGAAAATTGGTGCAGCAGATCTCGAATTATAAGTTTTGTAACAAACTCTACTTTGTTTTATATATATAGAGACTGTTAGGCGGTACGAAGTTCGCCGGGACAACTAGTACATAAATAGATGGCTGACGCTTGTAAATGTCGCAATTCGGGCACTATAAATAGTAGGCGTAGATATATAATTTTTTCACCCATCTTTATAGAATCAAAACATCAGCCTACGTGCAAAATTTTAGCATTCTAGATTTTCAACTTTGGGAGATACAGTTTTATCCGATTTTTCACGCCCCCAATAGGAGGAGATATATACGCCATAGCTTGTAATCTTGGGTCATCGACGCGGACCTACATATTAAATTTCAGATTTCTAGCTCTTCAACTAATATGATTTCTTATATATCAGAAAATGCATTTTCCGATTTGCCACGCCCCTAGTGGGCGGAACGGGAAAATTTTAACACTTTATAAATCGGAAATATTCACGAGTATGTGTTCCAAATTTCAATAGTGCCGAAATAGACTGCGTTCATACGGACATTGCACAAAACAAATATTCACATTTCACTTTCGTGAATGAGTATAATAATTTATACATCTAATTTAAAGATCCTGTTTTCCCAATTTTAATGGCATCATGGTCTGCTTTATATAAAGCAACGTCCAAGTCTCTAGTGCGCACAGCGTAACAAAGGCATTAGAGACTTGGACTTTGCTTTATATACTCGGACTGCACAGCGTTTGGGCTGTGAATGAGTATTCTGCAATCGGTATCGCCCGACTGCATCGTGCTTATCGGATATATACTCACTTTAATAACATGAAATTAAAAGAAATAAATATATTATTTTTTTTGTTTCGTTATAGGATGGAAAAATTTCAAATCAGGAATTCAAAGATGCTGTTAAAAAAACCTGTGTGGGAAAAAAATATGAAGAATTTCCACAAGTAAGACTTATATACCTACGACAATTCATTTTAAATACTATCTTTTCTTTACAACTTGTTATCAATATGTTTGTCAGAGAAAACAGTTTTGTCAGCGCAGCGAGTTTTCGTGGTCGTCCACTTCTCAAACGGTTCTGACTTCTTCTTTCAATATACTTGCTACTACATGCGCTTCGACATACATATACCCAAAACACATTTTTAATGGGAAATCAGGGAAGAAGGCTTGATCACGAGACGAGCTGAGTCGATTTGGCCCTGTCCGTCTGTCTGTCCGTCCATCCGTGCGTATGTATGAACGCGTCGATCTCAGAAGATTGAGTAGTTTTTAGTACTATCACATGATTATTATTAATTTAGTCCATATTACTAATAAGAGTACCGTGCCTTTTGTGGATGTAAAAATAACAAGTAAGAAAGCTCTAGTCGAGACTGCCCGACTACGAGATCCCCTGAACCCTTCGAGCAACTGATATTTCAATAATTATTCACACATGCCCACACACAGGCATACACACGCATGCATAAACACGCATTGGCTGCAGTGGTTGCTTACTATGGGACTATCTTCATGAAACTTTCAGATTATGAATATAACATAGATATGCATGTACTTGCCCAAGCACAAGTCTCTAGTATTTGAAATACGCCTTTTACAAAGGTGAGGGTGAGGGGGTGAATTAGAGGTGGGGGGAAAATTACAAAAAAAACCGAAATTGTATACAATGCATATAAGTATACATATAAAATTTGGAGACTCTAGCTTTAAAGATGTAGGAGATATAAATTTATTACTGGTTTTCGATAATGTTATTAATCGATAACAAAATACGGGACAAGTTATCGATATTTAAAGACATGCGATATGCGCATACTATATACGGACCTAGGACAAAATTTCAAACCTCTAGCTCTTATATCTTCTGAGATCGACGCGTTCAAACATACGGACAGACGGACAGACGGACGGACAGACGGACAGAGCTAAGTCGACTTAGCTCGTCGCCCTGATCAAGAATATATATACTTTATGGGGTCTGCCACGCCTCCTTCTGCCTGTTATATACATTTTACAAAACCATTATACCCTGATTTCCCATTTTCAATGGTTTCAGGGTATAAAAATATTTTAAGTATTTTAGTATTAGAATAAATAAAGAAGTTACTATTATTTTGATCCTATTGTAGAACAATTTTTTATACAAATTATAAAATATTACAGCGTGTTTCGTTTTTCATTACGGTGACTTTACTGGTACACTATAAATATGAGCAGAATATGTTAAATATTCCATTTGCTTCGAGCAAATATTCTTTATATCGAAAATTTTAAAACATATGAACTATTAATATTTTTGATTTATTTGAAGGCTATGCGAGCATTCATTGAATCCAATTTCAAATTGCTGGATATTGACAATGATGGCATCGTTGGAATTAAGGAATACCGATATAACTGCATTACAAGGGTAGCTATTGATGATGTTGCTCCCATTGATAAAGCGTTTGAGACTCTATTAAATGTAAGTATTTCTTTGAACAAAATAATTCAAATATATTTTAATTTTCATCTCTTCATAAGGATGATGATAAAAAACGTGGTGGTCTTTCACTGGATCGTTACAAAGAGCTCTATGGCCAATTTCTTGGAAATACAGCTGATAATCACTCAGCAGTGAATCTGTTTGGGCCTTTATAACTATATAAATTATTATTGTCTTCGCTGTTGTTCAACTACTATTTTTTTAAGATTATCGTGTAATTACTATGACTATGCTTAGCTAGGTTAAATGCATTCATATCATTTGTGTAGAATCGTCAGATGAACAGTTCGTTATCTCTAAAGGTTTTTATAGTTAGAATAGATATTTGCTCTCCAATGTTAACTCAGCATAACTTTTAAGTTTCTCTCAGATGAAAGCTACTAAAAATGTTTCTCTCTCAAAAATTTATAATGTTTAATCAAATTGTTATCATGTTATGTTTATTACAAAAAAATATGTTTGTGTAAAACCGAATAAATTGAGACGAATTCGTATATTCGAGTACAGTCTGAAAATACATTCAAAGAATTCTAAATCAGCAAATAGATGAATGTGTGATACCTACGAACCTTTATGTAAATATCGCTCGTTTTAACTTTTATTGTAATATTGCATTGGTATCAATGCAAAGCTAATTTAGCTCAAAGATGTAATTACCGACAGCCTTATGGCACTAAACATACAACATAGACCGGACATGTAGCACAAAGTTTTATCACAGTAAAATTCCAGCAGAGGTTCAAGGCAACTTCGTGTCTGCTCGGGCCTGTTACTTTTAGCTCTTGACTACGAAAATATGCGAACACAAAATCATATCGGCCGAGCGCAAAGGTCATTTGTATATATTCATACATTTGGATATAGTGAGTGTGGAATCCCTAACCCTACAATACATAGATAATAGAATAATAGAATGGAACATGTAAGAAAGCTCTAGTCGAGACTGCCCGACACGAGATCCTCTGAACCCTTCGAGCAATTATTATTTTATTATTTTAAAAATTATTCGCACACACACACCCTCAGACAAAGGCACGCACGCGTAAACACGCATTTGTGGCTTACTATGGGAACTTAATTGTTTAATAACATTTCTTGTGGATGGACTATCTTCATTAAACCACTAACCAAAGATTAAACTTTCAGACTATGAATATAACATAGATATGCATGTTATTGCCAAAGCACACACTTTTTACAAGGGTGATGGTGAGGGGGTGAATATAGTGGCGGGGGGTAAGTTTTGACAAAAGTCAAATTCTATAAAGTATATATGAATCTACATTTCAAATTTGACGACTTTATTTGGCTTTAAAGATGAAGCAGATATAAATTTATTCGTGATTTTCGATAATGTTTTTAATCGATAGGTAAATAACAGGACAAGTTATGGATATGCGCATGGTATACACAGACCTAGGAAAAACAAGTAAAAACGTTGCAGTCGGGCGTTACCGACTGCGGAATACTCATTCACATCCCATCAGCAATTTAGTAGTAAAGTTTCGCTCGAATCTAGTAGAAAATACAGTTTTTCCCGATTTGCCCCGCCCCTTTTTGGTCAGTTCTTAGAACGTGATAACGGTACCCTAACTGCAAAGTTTGAATGCTTACCCTCAAAAAATGTGAAAAATACAGGGTGTTTTCTATATGCCACGCCCCTAAAGAAGCGTACAAATTATTTTTGGGTCATCGATAGAGGAGGTTACTGGTAACTTAACTATTTGAATTTAAAGCTTTTAGCTATTATACTTTAGGAGATATAAACTTTTGCGATTTGCCACGCTCCCTGTGGGGGCGACAAAACTTGTTGGTCTTGGGTGGTCAGCTCGAGTATATATACAAAATTTGAGGTCTCTAGCATCAATAGTGTCTAAAATATAGCAGAATTTAAAAAATCACTATATCTTCAGGTCCGATTTACCACGCCCCTAATGAGCGTAGACATACATTTTTCGTTTAGACTTTATAGAATCATAACATTGGCTAATTTCAGCGCTCTAGCTGTAAAACTCTTGGAGATACAGTTTTATCCGATTTTCCACGCCCCCAATGGGCGTTGACATATCCTCCATAGCTCATTATCTTCAATTAATGATTTCTGGCATATCGAAAAATGCATTTTCCGATTTGCCACGCCCCTAGTGGGCGGATCGGGAAAACTTTAAAATTTTATAAATCGGAGATATACACGAGTATGTGTTCCAAATTTCAAGTCTCTAGCTTCAATCGCGCCGAAATAGATTCATACGGACAGACGGACAGACGGACGGACATTGCACAAAACCAATATACTAACTCACTTTCGTGAATGATTATGATAATTCACTTCCGTGAATGAGTATAATAATTCACTTTCGTGAATGAGTATAAAAAGTCTCTAGCTCTTATATCTTTCAAGATCGACGCGTTCAAAAAATACGGTCAGAACGGCAGACGGACGGACGGACAGACGGACAGAGCTAAATCGACGCAGCTCGTCGCCTTGATCAAGAATATATATACTTCTGCTTGATACACACCATTAAAAACAAGTAAGAAAGCTCTAGTCGAGACTACTCGACTACGAGATCCCCTGAACCCTTGGAGTAATAGCTATTTCAATAATTTTTCGCGTCTTTCAGCTTACACAAGAAACACGCACACACACACGCACGCACGCACACACAGGCATACATACACACACATACATACATCACACATACACACACACACACACACACACACACACACACACACACACACACACACTCAGACACGAGTTGCGTTTTCACGGAGTGCGGTCGATGTCATCGTGGTCCATCGTAGACAATAGCTTGAACTGTGTTTTCCCCTGTGAAAGTGGAAAGAACTGAAGTCAACGTGTTTGCTGTGGGCGCGGCGTACCCAGCGACCTCAAAAAACTACCAGAGACTTACTGCGCGGCGGTTCGTGGAATTCCCAAGCGGTATAATTCGGAGGTGCAAGAGAGGGGGGGCGATAGCGTCAGTGTTTTGGCGTCAGGGCTTCTTTCCTTTCCTTGTCTTTTGTGGGCGCGTAAATTTTGTTACTTTAGGCGTCACACTTGCGCAATAAGAAAAATCAGGTGCATTCACTCTAACAGCTGTTAGTAGTGCTGGAAATTGCATCGAGCAATCAGCTGCTCACTAACGTTGGTGAGTTGCTAAGCCTTAGCAAAGACAGCAACCTAGCTGCTGGAGTGAAGTAGCAGTTATTAAAAGTAGTGCATACTTTCGGGCTCTCGCTGTAGTCAAGTTGAGTTTAAGTTACTGCGGGTTGTAAACTCAGATTATATTAGTAGCCATTGCCCACTACAGGCTTCACGCCGTGGTAGTCGGAGCAGAAATGGAAGCCATAATGGAGGACGAGCTGCAAGCTTTTGCGCGTCGTTCCTCGTTGCAGCGATCGCCGCAGCAACAACAGAGGGTGTTGGCGCAGCCGTCGACTTCTAACCAGGCTCCAGTGGCTGAGTGCCAGGCACCCAAGTCACTAAAAGAAGCGTTAGCTCAAATAGGAGCTACACTAGAGGGTCTGTCTGCCTTATTTGGGGGTCAGCGGCATATAAATGCCTTAATGAGAGAGGAGCTGGCTAGGCTGGTCAGCCTTCACAAGACGGCCGAAGCGTTCTGCAACCGTTCGGTTAAAAACTGTGAGGTGCAGACCACGCCACTCAAAGTAGGCGAAAACCTTAAGGCAGCGAGCATTAGTGCTACAGTAGGTAGCAATACTCCCAAGCGGTCGAGGGAAGTTGCCTCCGAACAGAGGAAAACTCCCTCAAAAAAGCCGAGGACCAATAGAAGTGCAGCGAACCCAAAAGAACCAATGGCTCTACGGGCTACAGCTGAATCTGAAACTTCAAACCAGGCCGCCCGACAGACAAACCAGAGCAGCTGGACAGTCGTCAAAGGGCGAAAGCCTATGCAAAAACGTCCCAGGACTGACGCGATTGCGATTTCAGGCGTAGGGGGTTGCAGCTACGCGGACATGCTTCGTGTAGTTAAAAACGACCCAAATTTGAAGCATCTGAGCAGCGACGTTCAAGGCATTAGGAAGACAGCTAAGGGGGACCTTTTACTGCAACTGAGTAGGAAGCCGGAGCATAGCGCTGAGGCTCTGCACGAAGCTGTAGGCAAGGCCTTGGGAGACCGAGCGGTAGTTAAAACACTTACCGAATCGGCGCAAGTTGAGATTCGCGATCTAGATGAGTTAGCGACCAAAGAGGAGATCTTGGAGGTAATTAGGGTGGAGTTGAAGGATAGCTCACTCCCCATTGAGGCTATCAAATCGCTTCGGCCAGCTTTTGGTGGACAGCAAAGAGCTACGGTTGCTCTTCCAATTGGGAAAGCTAAAACTCTGCTCGAGCTGTCCAAAATTAGAATAGGATGGGTAGTTTGCCGTATCCGAGCCGTGGAGCAGCCTAAACGCTGTTTCAAGTGCCTCGATTACGGTCATATGGCAGCAAACTGCGGCAGCGACTGTGACTTAAAGGGCGCCTGTTTCAGGTGTGGAGAAATGGGTCACAGTGCCAAAGCATGCACCAAGCCACCAAAATGTAGCCTCTGCATCCGGAAAGGTGAAAAGCAGACGGACCATTCAGCAGGCAGCTTCAAGTGCCCATCTTACCGTGAAGCTGCTCGTAAAATGAAATGTTAAGATTTTTGCAGCTTAACTTAAATCATTGTGTTGCTGCCCAAGATCTTCTAGAGCAGACCATTAGGGAAAAATGTATAGATGTAGCTTTTCTCAGTGAGCCTCACCACTGTAGAACCAGCTGCCCTAGGACATGGTCAACAGACGTTAATGGCAAAGCTGCGTTGTGGGTATGCGGCAACTCAACGAACGTACTTTCGAATGTTAAGTCATTCAATGGGTTCGTACGTGGCCGATATGGTAGCTTGTGGCTTTACAGTTGCTATCTGGCCCCCAGCATGCAGCTCAGTGAATTCACGACGGTGCTCGACGAGCTTGCCGAGGATGCTAGGGGTCGGAAGGCCATTATAGCTGGAGATTTTAACTCCTGGGCGCTAGAATGGGGTAGCTCAACAACAAATGCCAGAGGTCGTATCCTACTGGAGATCTTCGCGACACTAGATGTTGCACTGCTCAACACTGGCCATGAGTACACCTTCAGTCGGGCGGGATACGGGTCTGTTATCGACATTACTTTTGTCACTTCATCCCTCTTTCGGGGAGCAACATGGAGCCATTGCGATAGCTATACAGGCAGCGATCATACGGCACTTCTGTTCACAATAGGTGAGCCACCTGCCAGGGCGTCAACATTGTGGAGGGAGTCGTATCGGCTAGATACTTTTGATCCCGCGGTCTTTTCAGAGGCCATTCAGTCTCTGGGTACAATTGGTAATGGCGAGGCCAGAGCATGCCAAATGGTAGCCCAAATACAGAGTGCCTGCAATAGCAGCATGTTACGCCGCAAGCAGTTCACGCGACAACATGAGCCTACGTATTGGTGGAATACGCAAATAGGTGACATTCGTCGCAAATGCATCCAGGCGAGAAGAAGCTACCAACGGGCTCGCGGTAGGCCAACGTTTCTTGAGAAACAGTTAGCTTACCAGGCAGCTAGAAGACAGCTGAAGAAGGCCATTCGGGCAAGCAAAAGAGAATGTTTTTTACAGTTGTGCGACTCAGCCGAATATGACCCTTGGGGCAGGGCATATAAGATAGTAGTTAAAAGACTATACGCAGGTAGACAGGTGCAGCCTACGGATCGTCTGGAGCTTAAATCGATTGTGGAAACACTCTTTCCAGAAAGTTTAAGCTCCATTCACGCCCCTGAGTCCGAGTCTGCTGATCAGGGCTCAACGAGCACTGAAATTGCTGAAATTGTTTTAGTTACAGAGGAAGAAATATCAGTAGTTCTCCGAGGTCTTAGAACCAACACAGCTCCGGGGCCGGACGGGATCCCAAATCGTGCGCTAAAGCTAGCCCTCGCCTTGCACCCAAGTACGTTCGCCGAATTATTTAACGAATGCCTGATCCAAGAGACGTTCCCGGCAAAATGGAAAGCCCAGAATCTGGTATTGCTACCCAAGGCTGGCAAACCACCAGATGAGCCATCTTCGTACAGACCGATCTGTCTCTTAGACACCATGGGAAAGGTGTTTGAGAAACTGATCTGCTCTAGGCTGGAGACTGCGATTGCAAGCGCCGGAGGCCTGTCACCAAACCAATTTGGATTCCGGAAGGCCCGGTCAACAACGGACGCGCTTAACAAAGTTGTTGGTCTGGCCACTTCCGCTATTCAAGGCACCAGATGGAGGCACGGGACGAAGGAATACTGTATCATCGCGACCCTGGATGTAAGGAATGCCTTCAACACAGCTAGTTGGGATATGATACTGAATGCGCTGTCACAATATAATATCCCTAAATATCTAAGAGAGATAATAAAGAGCTACTTCAGAGGAAGAACACTGGTATACAACACGAGTGAGGGTCCCCAAACTCATACAGTGTCAGCTGGAGTACCCCAAGGCTCAGTGCTGGGGCCTCTCCTATGGAACATCATGTACGACGGCGTACTGCGCTTGGAACTACCAGCAGGCGCGCACACCATTGGCTTTGCTGATGATGTAGCTGTCGTAGCCATAGGAAAGGAGCTCAAAGATACAGAGGATATGTGCAGCGAAAGTATCAACCGCATACGAAGCTGGTTGACAGGAGCTGGGCTCGAGCTAGCGGCACACAAGACCGAAGTGGTACTAGTCAGCAGTCGCAAAAGAGTGGAAACTGCCAATATAAAGATCGGCAGCGTCACCATTGCGTCAAAGAGGGCGATAAGATATCTTGGTGTCATGATAGACACAAGATTAACTTTCCGCGAGCACTTAGAATATGTGCATAAAAAGGCAGCTGATTCTTGTAGAGCTCTCTCGAGAATCATGCTTAACACGCGGGGACCTAAACAGCAACGACGTCTCCTCCTAATGAGCGTCATTAGGTCTGTCATCCTCTATGCTGCGCCAATATGGGCAAGAGCGATGGCAACGCCGAGCTACAGCCGAGGCATTTGCGCGATCTACAGGCTGAGCGCAATCAGAGTCAGCTGCGCTTTCAGGACTATCTCCGATGACGCGGCGCTCGTCATAGCCGGTATGGTGCCACTGGAGTATTTGGTCGCCGAAGCCGTGGAGCGGAATTCGCACGGGCCTACGCGACTCAACGCTGTCAGGGCGAACAGCATCGCACGATGGCAAAGAAGGTGGAATAGCTCAGCTAAAGGGCGGTGGACGCACAAGCTCATCCCGGAGCTTGAACCATGGGTTAACCGCAAACATGGCGAGGTTAACTTCCACCTTACGCAGATCCTCTCGGGTCATGGATGCTTTCGGAGCTATTTGAAGCGCTTTGGCCACGAGGAATCCGACGAGTGCCCCTGGTGCGAGCGAGGGCATGTGGAAGACGCCAACCACATTCTTTTCGAATGTGGACGGTTCCTGGAGGAGAGGCGTCGTCTGGAAGAGGCAGTGGGCCGCTCCATCAGAGCGGAGCAATGCTTTACGGCCGTCCCGCAAGCACCGCGCGCTATCCTAGTCACCACACAACTTGCAATTTTTATTTTGTCAATAAATGAATATAAAAAAAAAAAAAAAAAAAAAAAAAAAAAAAAAAAAACACACACACACACACACACACACACACACACACACACAAACATTTACACAAAATTTGGAGACTCTAGCTTTAAAGATGTAGGAGATATAAATTTATTACTGGTTTTCGATAATGTTATTAATCGTTAACAAAATACGGGACAAGTTATTGATATTTAAAGATATGCGATATGCGCATACTATATACGGACATAGGACAAAATTTCAAACCTCTAGCTCTTATATCTTCTGAGATCGACGCGTTCAAACATACGGACAGACGGACGGACAGACGGACAGAGCTAAGTCGACTTAGCTCGTCGCCCTGATCAAGAATATATATACTTTATGGGGTCGGCCACGTCTCCTTCTGCCTGTTATATACATTTTACAAAACCATTATACCCTGATTTCCCATTTTCAATGGTTTCTGGGTATAAAAATATTTTAAGTATTTTAGTATTAGAATAAATAAAGAAGTTACTATTATTTTGATCCTATTGTAGAACAATTTTTTATACAAATTATAAAATATTACAGCGTGTTTCGTTTTTCATTACGGTGACTTTACTGGTACACTATAAATATGAGCAGAATATGTTAAATATTCCATTTGCTTCGAGCAAATATTCTTTATATCGAAAATTTTAAAACATATGAACTATTAATATTTTTGATTTATTTGAAGGCTATGCGAGCATTCATTGAATCCAATTTCAAATTGCTGGATATTGACAATGATGGCATCGTTGGAATTAAGGAATACCGATATAACTGCATTACAAGGGTAGCTATTGATGATGTTGCTCCCATTGATAAAGCGTTTGAGACTCTATTAAATGTAAGTATTTCTTTGAACAAAATAATTCAAATATATTTTAATTTTCATCTTTTCATAAGGATGATGATAAAAAACGTGGTGGTCTTTCACTGGATCGTTACAAAGAGCGCTATGGCCAATTTCTTGGAAATACAGCTGATAATCACTCAGCAGTGAATCTGTTTGGGCCTTTATAACTATATAAATTATTATTGTCTTCGCTGTTATCGTGTAATTACTATGACTATGCTTAGCTAGGTTAAATGCATTCATATCATTTGTGTAGAATCGTCAGATGAACAGTTCGTTATCTCTAAAGGTTTTTATAGTTAGAATAGATATTTGCTCTCCAATGTTAACTCAGCATAACTTTTAAGTTTCTCTCAGATGAAAGCTACTAAAAATGTTTCTCTCTCAAAAATTTATAATGTTTAATCAAATTGTTATCATGTTACCGAATAAATTGAGACGAATTCGTATATTCGAGTACAGTCTGAAAATACATTCAAAGAATTCTAAATCAGCAAATAGATGAATGTGTGATACCTACGAACCTTTATGTAAATATCGCTCGTCATTTAACTTTTATTGTAATATTGCATTGGTATCAATGCAAAGCTAATTTAGCTCAAAGATGTAATTACCGACAGCCTTATGGCACTAAACATACAACATAGACCGGACATGTAGCACAAAGTTTTATCACAGTAAAATTCCAGCAGAGGTTCAAGGCAACTTCGTGTCTGCTCGGGCCTGTTACTTTTAGCTCTTGACTACGAAAATATGCGAACACAAAATCATATCGGCCGAGCGCAAAGGTCATTTGTATATATTCATACATTTGGATATAGTGAGTGTGGAATCCCTAACCCTACAATACATAGATAATAGAATAATAGAATGGAACATGTAAGAAAGCTCTAGTCGAGACTGCCCGACACGAGATCCTCTGAACCCTTCGAGCAATTATTATTTTATTATTTTAAAAATTATTCGCACACACACACCCACAGACAAAGGCACGCACGCGTAAACACGCATTTGTGGCTTACTATGGGAACTTAATTGTTTAATAACATTTCTTGTGGATGGACTATCTTCATTAAACCACTAACCAAAGATTAAACTTTCAGACTATGAATATAACATAGATATGCATGTTATTGCCAAAGCACACACTTTTTACAAGGGTGATGGTGAGGGGGTGAATATAGTGGCGGGGGTAAGTTTTGACAAAAGTCAAATTCTATAAAGTATATATGAATCTAAATTTCAAATTTGACGACTTTATTTGGCTTTAAAGATGAAGCAGATATAAATTTATTCGCGATTTTCGATAATGTTTTTAATCGATAGGTAAATAACAGGACAAGTTATGGATATGCGCATGGTATACACAGACCTAGGAAAAACAAGTAAAAACGTTGCAGTCGGGCGTTACCGACTGCGGAATACTCATTCACATCCCATCAGCAATTTAGTAGTAAAGTTTCGCTCGAATCTAGTAGAAAATACAGTTTTTCCCGATTTGCCCCGCCCCTTTTTGGTCAGTTCTTAGAACGTGATAACGGTACCCTAACTGCAAAGTTTGAATGCTTACCCTCAAAAAATGTGAAAAATACAGGGTGTTTTCTATATGCCACGCCCCTAAAGAAGCGTACAAATTATTTTTGGGTCATCGATAGAGGAGGTTACTGGTAACTTAACTATTTGAATTTAAAGCTTTTAGCTATTATACTTTAGGAGATATAAACTTTTGCGATTTGCCACGCTCCCTGTGGGGGCGACAAAACTTGTTGGTCTTGGGTGGTCAGCTCGAGTATATATACAAAATTTGAGGTCTCTAGCATCAATAGTGTCTAAAATATAGCAGAATTTAAAAAATCACTATATCTTCAGGTCCGATTTACCACGCCCCTAATGGGCGTAGACATACATTTTTCGTTTAGACTTTATAGAATCATAACATTGGCTAATTTCAGCGCTCTAGCTGTAAAACTCTTGGAGATACAGTTTTATCCGATTTTCCACGCCCCCAATGGGCGTTGACATATCCTCCATAGCTCATTATCTTCAATTAATGATTGCTGGCATATCGAAAAATGCATTTTCCGATTTGCCACGCCCCTAGTGGGCGGATCGGGAAAACTTTAAAATTTTATAAATCGGAGATATACACGAGTATGTGTTCCAAATTTCAAGTCTCTAGCTTCAATCGCGCCGAAATAGATTGCGTTCATACGGACAGACGGACAGACGGACGGACATTGCACAAAACCAATATACTAACTCACTTTCGTGAATGATTATGATAATTCACTTCCGTGAATGAGTATAATAATTCACTTTCGTGAATGAGTATAAAAAGTCTCTAGCTCTTATATCTTTCAAGATCGACGCGTTCAAAAAATACGGTCAGAACGGCAGACGGACGGACGGACAGACGGACAGAGCTAAATCGACGCAGCTCGTCGCCTTGATCAAGAATATATATACTTCTGCTTGATACACACCATTAAAAACAAGTAAGAAAGCTCTAGTCGAGACTACTCGACTACGAGATCCCCTGAACCCTTGGAGTAATAGCTATTTCAATAATTTTTCGCGTCTTTCAGCTTACACAAGAAACACGCACACACACACACGCACGCACGCACACACAGGCATACATACACACACATACATACATACACATACACACACACACACACACACACACACACACACACACACACACACACACACACACACACACACACACACACACACACACACACACACACACACACACACACACACATACACAAACATACACAAACATTTACACAAAATTTGGAGACTCTAGCTTTAAAGATGTAGGAGATATAAATTTATTACTGGTTTTCGATAATGTTATTAATCGTTAACAAAATACGGGACAAGTTATTGATATTTAAAGATATGCGATATGCGCATACTATATACGGACATAGGACAAAATTTCAAACCTCTAGCTCTTATATCTTCTGAGATCGACGCGTTCAAACATACGGACAGACGGACAGACGGACGGACAGACGGACAGAGCTAAGTCGACTTAGCTCGTCGCCCTGATCAAGAATATATATACTTTATGGGGTCTGCCACGTCTCCTTCTGCCTGTTATATACATTTTACAAAACCATTATACCCTGATTTCCCATTTTCAATGGTTTCTGGGTATAAAAATATTTTAAGTATTTTAGTATTAGAATAAATAAAGAAGTTACTATTATTTTGATCCTATTGTAGAACAATTTTTTATACAAATTATAAAATATTACAGCGTGTTTCGTTTTTCATTACGGTGACTTTACTGGTACACTATAAATATGAGCAGAATATGTTAAATATTCCATTTGCTTCGAGCAAATATTCTTTATATCGAAAATTTTAAAACATATGAACTATTAATATTTTTGATTTATTTGAAGTCTATGCGAGCATTCATTGAATCCAATTTCAAATTGCTGGATATTGACAATGATGGCATCGTTGGAATTAAGGAATACCGATATAACTGCATTACAAGGGTAGCTATTGATGATGTTGCTCCCATTGATAAAGCGTTTGAGACTCTATTAAATGTAAGTATTTCTTTGAACAAAATAATTCAAATATATTTTAATTTTCATCTTTTCATAAGGATGATGATAAAAAACGTGGTGGTCTTTCACTGGATCGTTACAAAGAGCTCTATGGCCAATTTCTTGGAAATACAGCTGATAATCACTCAGCAGTGAATCTGTTTGGGCCTTTATAACTATATAAATTATTATTGTCTTCGCTGTTATCGTGTAATTACTATGACTATGCTTAGCTAGGTTAAATGCATTCATATCATTTGTGTAGAATCGTCAGATGAACAGTTCGTTATCTCTAAAGGTTTTTATAGTTAGAATAGATATTTGCTCTCCAATGTTAACTCAGCATAACTTTTAAGTTTCTCTCAGATGAAAGCTACTAAAAATGTTTCTCTCTCAAAAATTTATAATGTTTAATCAAATTGTTATCATGTTACCGAATAAATTGAGACGAATTCGTATATTCGAGTACAGTCTGAAAATACATTCAAAGAATTATAAATCAGCAAATAGATGAATGTGTGATACCTACGAACCTTTATGTAAATATCGCTCGTCATTTAACTTTTATTGTAATATTGCATTGGTATCAATGCAAAGCTAATTTAGCTCAAAGATGTAATTACCGACAGCCTTATGGCACTAAACATACAACATAGACCGGACATGTAGCACAAAGTTTTATCACAGTAAAATTCCAGCAGAGGTTCAAGGCAACTTCGTGTCTGCTCGGGCCTGTTACTTTTAGCTCTTGACTACGAAAATATGCGAACACAAAATCATATCGGCCGAGCGCAAAGGTCATTTGTATATATTCATACATTTGGATATAGTGAGTGTGGAATCCCTAACCCTACAATACATAGATAATAGAATAATAGAATGGAACATGTAAGAAAGCTCTAGTCGAGACTGCCCGACACGAGATCCTCTGAACCCTTCGAGCAATTATTATTTTATTATTTTAAAAATTATTCGCACACACACACCCACAGACAAAGGCACGCACGCGTAAACACGCATTTGTGGCTTACTATGGGAACTTAATTGTTTAATAACATTTCTTGTGGATGGACTATCTTCATTAAACCACTAACCAAAGATTAAACTTTCAGACTATGAATATAACATAGATATGCATGTTATTGCCAAAGCACACACTTTTTACAAGGGTGATGGTGAGGGGGTGAATATAGTGGCGGGGGGTAAGTTTTGACAAAAGTCAAATTCTATAAAGTATATATGAATCTAAATTTCAAATTTGACGACTTTATTTGGCTTTAAAGATGAAGCAGATATAAATTTATTCGCGATTTTCGATAATGTTTTTAATCGATAGGTAAATAACAGGACAAGTTATGGATATGCGCATGGTATACACAGACCTAGGAAAAACAAGTAAAAACGTTGCAGTCGGGCGTTACCGACTGCGGAATACTCATTCACATCCCATCAGCAATTTAGTAGTAAAGTTTCGCTCGAATCTAGTAGAAAATACAGTTTTTCCCGATTTGCCCCGCCCCTTTTTGGTCAGTTCTTAGAACGTGATAACGGTACCCTAACTGCAAAGTTTGAATGCTTACCCTCAAAAAATGTGAAAAATACAGGGTGTTTTCTATATGCCACGCCCCTAAAGAAGCGTACAAATTATTTTTGGGTCATCGATAGAGGAGGTTACTGGTAACTTAACTATTTGAATTTAAAGCTTTTAGCTATTATATTTAGGAGATATAAACTTTTGCGATTTGCCACGCTCCCTGTGGGGGCGACAAAACTTGTTGGTCTTGGGTGGTCAGCTCGAGTATATATACAAAATTTGAGGTCTCTAGCATAAATAGTGTCTAAAATATAGTAGAATTTAAAAAATCACTATATCTTCAGGTCCGATTTACCACGCCCCTAATGGGCGTAGAAATACATTTTTTCGTTTAGACTTTATAGAGTCATAACATTGGCTAATTTCAGCGCTCTAGCTGTAAAACTCTTGGAGATACAGTTTTATCCGATTTTCCACGCCCCCAATGGGCGTTGACATATCCTCCATAGCTCATTATCTTCAATTAATGATTGCTGGCATATCGAAAAATGCATTTTCCGATTTGCCACGCCCCTAGTGGGCGGATCGGGAAAACTTTAAAACTTTATAAATCGGAGATATACACGAGTATGTGTTCCAAATTTCAAGTCTCTAGCTTCAATAGCGCCGAAATAGATTGCGTTCATACGGACAGACGGACAGACGGACGGACATTGAACAAAACCAATATACTAACTCACTTTCGTGAATGATTATGATAATTCACTTCCGTGAACTTCTGCTTCTATTCGATCTGCTTCTCCTTTATGAATAGTTATAGTTCGAAAAATGATAAACTAGCTAAATAATCATTTCGGTTGATGTATCCTTTTTAAATTTAATTTTGATTAACCGCTGCGAATCTTTTCTTGACACAGCACTTAAGTTATAATATTTATTGGTATTCTAGATTCTTCAACAACAAATGAATGAATATAAATTTCACTACTTTTTCACAAGCTTTGACTTAGAAAATTTCGATTTAGAGGATTTTAAATATAACTTTGTAAATATAACATCATTTCGACTTGTTGACATGGGCGATGTAGCGGTCAAAGAAATTCTTAAGGACATTGAATATTATAATCGTCGACTTTTGAATCACAATGAGTCTACATATAAATCAAGGAAAGCTGTTAGTATCGAGCTATGATTTGTATTTTAATTTTTTTTTTTTTTTTATATTGAACTATTATTAAATATTATTCTTATTGTTAATAATTATTAGACGGAGGCAGCTTTGATGTTTGACGCCGTATATGTGTTTGCTATCGGGTTACAGTCAATTTATCCACTACTTAAGCTACCAAATCTGACTTGTGATGATGAAGTACCGTGGAATGGGGGCCTTAGCTTGATCAATTATATAAATGCGGTAAATATTCGAATGTTATTATTATTATTATTGTTTAATTGCACCCTTAGCCCATCTGGTGCTCATAATAAATATTAGTGGCCTGTGTGCTGCCTGCGCAAATTATAATGCCCAAAATCTACCGTTGATCGGGGGGCAATAGCGTCATTATTTTGGCGTCAGGGCTTTCCTCTTTCCTTTTCTTTTTCAAGCGCGAAAAGTTTTGTCACTAGGCGTCACATTTGCGCAATTAATAAAAATCAGGTGCATTCACTCTAACAGCTGTTAGTAGTGCTGGAAATTGCAGCGGACAGTCAGCTGCTCACTAACTTTGGTGAGTTGCTAAGTCTTAGCAAAGACAGCAACCTAACATCTGGAGTGAAGACGCAGTTACTAAAAGTAGAGCATACTTTCGGGCTCTTGCTGTAGTTAAGCTGAGTTTAAGATACTGCGGTCTGTAAACTCAAATTATATTAGTAGCCATTGCCCATTACAGGCTTCACGTCGTTGTAGTCGGAGCAAAAATGGATGCCAGGATGGAGGACGAGCTGCAAGCTTTCGCGCGTCGTACCTCGTTGCAGCGATCACCGCAGCAACAACAGAGGGCGCTGCCGCAGCCGTCGACCTTTAATCAGTCCCCAGTGGCTGAGTGCCAGGCACCCAACTCACTAAAAGAAGCGTTAGCCCAAATAGGAGTTACTCTAGAGGGCTTGACTGCCTTATTTGGGGGTCAGCGGCATATTAATGCCCTAATGAGAGAGGAGCTGGCTTGGCTGGTCAATCTCCATAAGACGGCCGAAAAGCTCTGCAACCGACCGGTTAAAAACTGCGAGGTGCAGACCATGCCGCTCCAGAAAGTAGTGGAGAAAGCGAGCACTAGTGCGATCTCAGGTAGCAATACGCCCAAGCGGACGAGGGAAGTTACCACCGATCAGAGGAAGCCCAGGCCCAATAAAGGCGCAAAAGAGCCAATGGCTCTACGGGCTACAGCTGAAAGTTCAAGTCAGGCAGGTCGACAGACAAACCCGAACAGCTGGACAGTCGTTAAAGGACGCAAGCCTATGCAAAACCGACCCAGAAGTGACGCAATCGCGATTTCAGGCGTGGGTGGTTGCAACTATACGGACTTGCTTCGTGTAGTCAAGACCGACCCAAATTTAAAGCATCTGAGCGGCGACGTTCAAGGCATAAGGAAGACAGCTAAGGGGAACCTTTTGTTGCAACTGAGCAGAAAGCCGGAGCATAGCGCTGAGGCCCTTCACGAAGCTGTAGGCAAGGCCTTTGGTGACCGAGCGGTAGTTAAAACACTTACCGAATCGGCTCAAATTGAGATTCGCGACCTAGATGAGTTAGCGGGCAAAGAGGAGATCTTGGAGTCAATTAGGGCGGAGTTGAAGGATAGCTCACTCCCCATTGAGGCTATCAAGTCGCTTGCAGCCGACTGCGGCAATGACTGTGACCTAAAGGGTGCCTGGTTCAGGTGTGGAGAGATGGGTCACAGTGCACAAGCATGCACTAAGCCACCAAAATGTAGCCTCTGCATCCGGGAAGGTGAACAGCAGACGGACCACTCAGCAGGCAGCTTCAAATGCCCATCCTACCACGAGGCTGCTCGTAAAACGAAATGTTAACGTTCCTTCAGCTTAACTTAAATCATTGTGTTGCTGCCCAAGATCTTCTAGAGCAGACCATTAGGGAAAAATATATAGACGTAGCATTTCTCAGTGAGCCTCACCACTGTAGCTGCCCTAGGACATGGGCAACAGATGCTAATGGCAAAGCGGTGTTGAGAGCATGTGGCAACACAACGAATGTTCTTTCGAATGTTAAGTCATTTAATGGATTCGTACGTGGCCAATACGGTAGCTTATGGCTCTACAGCTGCTACTTGCCTACCCCCAGCATGCAGCTCAGTGAATTCACAGCGGTGCTTGACGAGCTTGCCGAGGATGCTAGGGATCGGAAGGCCATTATAGCAGGAGATTTTAACTCATGCGTGTTAGAATGGGGTAGTCACACAACAAATGCCAGAGGCCGTATCTTACTGGAGATTTTCGCGACACTAGATGTTGCACTGCTCAACACTGGTCACGAGTTCACCTTCAGTCGGGCTGGGTACGGATCTGTAATTGACATTACTTTTGTCACTTCATGCCTCGTTCGGGAAGCAACATGGAGCCACTGCGATAGCTATACGGGCAGCGATCATACGGCACTTCTGTTCACAATAGGTGAGCCACCTGCCAGGGCGTCAACCTTGTGGAGGGAGTCGTATCGGCTAGATACTTTTGATCCCGCGGTCTTTTCAGAGGCCATTCAGTCTCTGGGCACAATTGGTAATTCTGAGGCCAGAGCATGCCAAATGGTAGCCCAAATACAGAGTGCCTGCAATAGCAGCATGTTACGCCGCAAGCAGTTCACGCGACAACAAGAGCCTACGTATTGGTGGAATGCACAAATAGGTGACATTCGTCGCAAATGCATCCAGGCGAGAACAAGCTACCAACGGGCTCGCGGTAGGTCTACGTTTTTTGAGAAACAATTAGCTTACCAGGCAGCTAGAAGACAGCTGAAGAGGGCACTTCTGGCAAGCAAAAGAGAATGCTTTTTAGAGTTGTGCGACTCAGCCGAATATGACCCTTGGGGCAGGGCATATAAGATAGTAGTTAAAAGACTATACGCAGGTAGACAGGTGCAGCCTACGGATCGTCTGGAGCTTAAATCGATTGTGGACACGCTCTTTCCAGAAAGTTTAAGCTCCATTCACGCCTCTGGGTCCGAGTCTGCTGATCAGGGCTCAACGAGCACTGAAATTGTTTTAGTCACAGAGGAAGAAATCATAGTAACTCTCCGGGGTCTTAGAACCAACACTGCTCCAGGGCCGGATGGGATCCCAAATCGTACGCTAAAGCTAGCTGAATTATTCAACGAATGTCTAATTCAAGAGACGTTCCCGGCAAAATGGAAAGCCCAGAGCCTGGTGTTGCTACCCAAGGCTGGCAAACCACCAGATGAGCCATCTTCGTACAGACCGATCTGTCTCATAGACACCATGGGAAAGGTATTTGAGGAATTGATATGCTCTAGACTGGAGACTACGATTACTGGCGCCGGAGGCCTGTCACCAAATCAATTTGGATTCCGGAAGGCCCGGTCAACAACGGATGTGTTCATGACCATGCATGAACATAAAAATATGATAAGTAGGGGAACGTACGCGCTATGCACTCGACAGCTAGCATAAAATAAATAACATATGTTTCAAGTGTGAACTGTCAAACTGGGCATAAATTATGACCCTGACCCTTAGCGATTAGAATACGTAAGAGGCGAGCGCTGAGCATTACAAACTCAGCGATAGCATAAGAATAGCTAATAAGCCAACGCGGAGTCTTACAAACTACGCGATAAGTTAATAATATGTAATAGACCAATGCTGAGCCTTACACACTCAGCAATAGAAGCACTAGATTTAATGGTTAAAATTATACATGAGTCTGGGTATAAAAACCCAGGCCCAGCAGAATAAAAATCAATACGAAACTAAACACCAACATAGTAAAGTGTATTCGTTCATGGTCCTTCGATCCGTACCACAAGACTACTAAATATCGAAAGTTGTAACAAGTGTATATTAAAGTGAAAACTTATTTTGTTAAATAAGAAAAGTGATTTCTTCTTTGGCTTACCAATCCACGCTGTGAGTCGAGGCACAGCAAGATCAACAAGGCGATCAAAACAAAAATACCTCCAACGGGTTAAGCCAAAAAGCAAATCAACAAAAAATATACAAAAAACTACAACAACCGCAACAAGATGCTGTCAGACAAGGCCATTGAAGTGCTAAAGAAGCAATCAAACTTGTATGACACCATCTTAAAGGCCATAGCTGAAAAGGATGCGTTGGCAGTCGTGAACAAGTTGGCAGAAGAATTCACTGCCAATCACTCGACGCTAATAAAACTTGGTATCCCAAGCAATCATCCGTATTTTACCCAGAATATAAACTTAACAGGAAGTTAAGTGTCTTTCACAGTATGAAAGAAGACGTTCCAGAGATGCCAAAATCGGATCTTCCTCAATTTAATGGAAGTCCCAAAGAGTGGCCAACGTTCTTCAAAAATCATAACTTTTGAACCAAGCAAGATATTTTAAAAATTTCAAAAGCATTCGGCAGAGAATTTTTCCAGATATAATTAAGCCAACGCACAGGGTGAGGCGTAATTGGGGGCTTCACACTTTAACCTCAAACATGAACAAGTAAGAAAGCTCTAGTCGAGAACGCTCGACTACGAGATCCGCTGAACCCTTCGAGCAAGAGCTATTTCAATCATTTTTCGCGTCTATCTGCTTACACAAGACACACGCACACACACAAGCACCCACGCCTAAACACACATGAGCTGCAGTGTGCGCTTACTATGATAACTTAATTGTTTAAAAACTTCTCTTGTGGATGTACTTTCATGAAACTTCGAGATTATGATTGTAACATAGATATGCATGCATTTGCCAAAACACAAGTCTCTACTATTTGAAATACGTGGTGGGGGGATACATTTTAACAATAACCGAAACTGCAATGCATATGAATATACATTCAAAATTTGGACACCGTAGCTCCAATGATGTAAGAGATATAATTATACACATTCACCAAAGTGAATTATTATACTCATTCACGAAAGTGAATTATTATACTCATTCACGAAAGTGAATTAGTATATTGGTTTTGTGCAATGTCCGTCTTGCTGTCCGTCTGTCCGTATGAACGCAATCTATTTCGGCGCTATTGAAGCTGGAACACATACTCGTGCATATCTCCGATTTATAAAGTGCTAAAATTTTCCCGATCCGCCCATTAGGGGCGTGGCAAATCGGAAAATGCATTTTCCGATATACCAGAAATCATGTTAGTTAAAAAGCAAGAAAGCTGAAATTTAATATGTGGTCGACGCGGACCACCCAAGATCACGAGCTATGGCGGATATATCTCCGCCCGTTGGTGCGTGGCAAATCGGATAAAACTGTATCTTCAAAAGTTGTAAACCTAAAATGCTGAAATTTTGCACGTAAGCTGATGTTTTTATTCTATAAAGATGGGTGAAAAAATTATATACCTACGCCTACTAAGGGCGTGTCAAATCGGACCTGAAGATATAGTGATTTTTCGAATTCTGCTCTATTTTGGAATCTATTGATGCTAGAGACCTCAAATTTTGTATATATACGCGGGTTGACCACCCAAGTCCAACAAGCTATGGTAGATATATGTCCGCCCACAGGGGGCGTGGCAAACCGCAAAAGCTTAGATCTCCTACAGTTTAAGGGCTAGAAACTTCAAATTTAGATAGTTGAGTTACTGGTAGCCTCCTCTATCGATTCCCAAAATTAATTTTTAAGCCTCTTTACGCGCGTGGCATATCGAAAAATACCCTGTAATTTTCACATTTTTTGAGCGTAAGAATTCAAATTTTGCATTTAGGTTACCGGTTGCTCGTTCTAAGAACTGGTCATAAATGAGGAGTCTACGGCCACTAGGGGCGTGGCAATCGGCATTTATAGTGCCCGAATTGCGAAATTTATAAGCGTCAGCCATTGATGTATGTATTTGTACATATAAATAAGCGTAATGGATATTCATAATACGGAAAAAAAAAACATTTTTATGAAATTTAAAAAATATAAAAGAAGCTAAAATATCAAAAATTTGCTATTTACAAAAAAGTGTTTTCCGTGGGATTTGAGCTCGCACCCAAGCCAAATAGCATGTTTGTCAAAATAACTAAAATGAATATCGCCGGCGCTTCTGCCTACAGCACCACCGCGTCGTTTCGAACAATAGTAGTCAAAACGAAATCACATTATTGTTATGACGCCATATACTAAAGAAAAGCCAGTGTAGCGGCTGGAAATTCAAAAACAATGCAAAGACAAATCAATCGCAACGAGATTCTTAGAATATGCTGGAGTACGCATTTATGTGTATATACATACACACATACAAATGAGCGCATGTATAAGGCTGGAATGCTTGATGCTATGCGTGCAGACTTACATATATAAAAATATTTACATATATATAAGTTAAGCGCTCCCACACTAGAGTACTAGTGATTGGGGACGCTGTGTTGGGTTCCTGTGAATATATAACAACTTTGTGTTCAATGAAATAATATATTTTATATAATTTGGAACAATAGGTCTAAACTCTCTCTAGTCCGAATATAAACTGAAATAAATCTTTTCAACTCGTTAGGTTCTCCCCTTGAATGTCTGACTTGACTCTCCAGCCTCACTAGATTGTCGAAAGTCTTAACTCTTCCCCATCTAAATATCTGTGTCCCGCAGATCAGGGTACATTTGTTCATTATAACAATATAAATTTTCCTCTGGCATCTCGGAAACTAGGAAGGATATACAAATGCTGTGTGCTAAGGAATATGCTATGGGTGCTAAGGAATAAATGCTAAGGAAGTTAAGGATGTTTAAAGAGGATTATAACAATATAATTAAATGTGAATTTTTCCTTTTTCTCCTATTTTCTTAAGTGTGATTTATGAAGAATTTTTCCAGTTTCTGTTTTAATTGTCACATTGCGGTTTTCTTTTACTTCGTCTTTTGCAAATCT